AAAGACTAACTTGAAAATGATATTTACAGAACTTTAGGTGTCGGTGGTATACTACTGACCTGAAAATCGATGATAAATGCGATAACAACTATGACATCGTTGTAATAATTTCCTTCTACAGGCAAGTCTCCATTAGTGAAGTGGATCGATTGATGTTGTGAGGAGTGTTGTGGTGGTAATGTTGTCGTGTAAATTTATGTCATCTCCTTTTTTAGCTAACTTGGAAGGAAGCTTCACTGTCCCCCCCAAAGATGGCACACAATACCGCGATGTGGACCGACTGAACCTGGGCAAGAACGTCGAAAGCTCTCTAAGCTGACTCTGTCCTCTCTCACCGGGACACTACATCAAGTGCGATGAACTTTTTGAATTTTTTTACGTTGATCGGGTCTTCAATCAAGTAACGGGGGTGTCAATGTTCTTTCATGTCATGTATGTATTTTATGTAGCACACACGATATTTCTTGGGGTTCCAAAAATGGCACCCTATTTTCATTGGTGGTGCCTTCTTGAAAAAGTCATTATTTTGAATGGTTTCCACTACCTCCGCATCAAGACCCTTGGTGGAGTGGATTGAGGTAGTTAGTGGGTCGAAGGTGATGGCCTTCTTTCATTGAGTCCATTCATCTATTATCCAGGGTAGTGGGATCCCTTTTTTTTTTTTCCTTTCATCTCATTTGATTGTGCCTATGTTCTGAACGGTTGGGCCCCTTTTGTACTTTTTGTAACATTTTTAGTTATATTAATGCAAAAAAAAGAGCATTTTTAAGGGAAAAAACCTTTTTAAGGGAGTAGTGGGGTTGATTTTTGTGACATTTTCCTTTATCTAACGCCAGGACCTCAGGGAACGACCACAATTCCTCAAAGTTGGCCCTGGTGGCCGGATGAGTATTGCGCCTCAACTTCCAACTTTCTCAATGAGTGCTTCCCTTCGAGGAGTGTGGATTCGAGCGCCCCATCTCAGTGGAAGTGAAATTATCCTTTTTCTTTTGTGAATATATGACTATTAGATAGTTCCAACAACTCAACCAATCTTTTAGGTTTTTGTGGGCCGAAGGGTTAGCAAAATTGTCCTTTCTCAAGTCATTGCGCGGGGATGGCATGTGCAATCGTGACTTCGAGATCCCGCACTTCCAACATTTTCCCTTGAAATTTAATGAAGGTGCGAAAGGGTTCATCACATTCTTGGTACAACTGAAGGAGGACCTAGAGTTTTTTGGAGCTTTAGTGCGCTAGAGAACTGAGTTATGAGCATTCTTTTAAAGTCCATGATAATTATAATCAGCTCTGATGGTAGGCTATTGAACCATCAAAGGGTCGACTCAATGAGTATTGTGAGGAAAGGTGACACTTTAGTGCATTGCTAACACTTTGGCAGGCAAATCACCGACTCAGTCGAGTAAGACTGTCTCTAGTAGGGTTCTAATGTCGGTGTCTTGAAGCACTCTGATGATTCTACTTTGAAGGCTCGCTGAAAAAGGCATCCTTAGTCTTAGTAGGTTAGGTACGGTGCTTCCTTGCAACCGAGTAGTACCAGAACTGCTCTATCAAGGTAGCGAGTGTCTGTTCTGGTTCAAGCGCATGAGGGATGCTTACAACATTCAGGACGGTTGTACTTCATGGGCAATAAGATGTCACTAGTCCTGGAAATTTCATTATTTTTGAAGTAAAACTCTCTTTTTATTGCCTCCATCATTTACTCTTTGAGGTCAATCTATTGAGTCACAAACTTGCGGGTGTAGTTTATGTTGTTTGGGGCTTCTCTCGATGATACATCTTATCCTTTAGTTGCTTAGCTTCTTGTATGTGGTGGGATATCACGCTCATTGCACTTTTCAGGGTGTTGAACTCATATTTATTCGTGAATCACGCCTAAGATATAAAGCGTAAATAAGGATATAACGAGACAAAAAAGAGAAAAAGAACAAGAAAATAAATAAATACTTAAGAGCCATATGAGTGTCACAAATCTATTTGTCTGCTTTTTGTGGGAAAATCCTCCTTTCACATATCACTATTTTCATATTGACAGTATGTAAGAGTTGCATTACCAAATATCACAATCACTACGGGAAAACTGTGAATTTGCATTAGAATTAGCATAAAAAATAATGTTGACTTAAAATTAGTGACCGATTTGTGTGTGATTAGTGCCACTCGCCGCTCTACTCCCAAAAGAATTAACACATAAGAATTGCATCGAGCAAAGGTCGCTAAATAGATGTTGTTGCGTCGGAGTAGCATCAGCTAATGCGAACACTTATATTACTTATCAGCATCAGCATTAGTCGACGCCAATGCCGGCACAAAAGCCTTAATATAGGGCTTTTGCGAACCGCAACCGTTACTTCTTGCCCAAACTAAACTCCTCTCCTTCCCTTCCGGCTTTCCTTTGCTTCGTCCGAGATTTTCCAGCTATTACGGCTCCGATTCACCCACACATCTAAGTTTTGTTTCAGCACAAGTTTTATTTTATCTTTTTCTTGCATAGGTATTAGATCCTAACATACATAGGTTGTGCTCAAGTTTTTTTTTTTGCATTCCTTTGTTAGATATGCAATGTATATGGATTTGAAGGTTTTGCATAAATTTAGAATGATAAGTGCTTAAATATAAAAGTTAAGTTTGGAAAATGTAAATACGTAAGAGTTTTCTCCTACGTAATTTTAGATTTAATGATTCTACATAAGATTTGAAATGTGTGTAAATGATTTATTTAAGTTTAAGACATGTGAATACATTAGATTCGAGCTACGTATGTAAATTTGTGCTATGTATGCAAATATGTAAATAAGAAAATTAAGGTGTGAGATATGAAAATACATAAGAAACTTGTTCTAGGTATATAAATATGAAAATTTAGGTGTGCAATATGTAAATACATAAATTAGTGCTATGTATGTAAACATGTGCTACATATGTAAATATGCAAATTTGAAAAATTAGGTGTGAGATATGTAAATACATAAGAAATTTGTGTTATCTTTGTAATAAACAATGGTGCGGTAATTTAATAGATTGGTGGGTTGATGGGTTGTTTGGGTATTTATTAGTTAATTGGTTGATTCTCTGGATTTGTGGGCATTGTGTTTCGAGTATGATATATAGGTGGCCTAAGATTTCATGTAGGATGTGTAGATTATAGACTAAAGTTTCATCTAGGTGTGAAATTTGGCTATAATTTATATAAAAAAATGATGCTCAATATGACACACTAACGTTGTACTAGAACTACATGTATGATATAGATGGATATTCAAAGAGTTATATCGTGGATGTATAACATATTATATCCAGTAAGAAAATTATCAACTGATTAGTTTTTTTTTGCTGATGTTGAAGAGTTTGTGCATGTGGCATCACAACTGTTTGTTTACCTTTTAGAAGGTAGGTTTTAATGCCCCTATGCGAAGCAAAAAAATCAATTGTACCTGACACTTGAAGAAATGAAGTTTGATCTATACCGTAGGAAATTTAAACCCGGTTATTGATATTGGACTTCACGTGGTTGCTTTGAACTAAATGTTCGTATGGTCATGCTGGAGCTTCATCAAGTCATGCCCCTCAAACTGTTTACGATTCTGACATGTATGATGAAATGATTAATGATGATTTGTTGGGAGTGTGTATGATGTTGTCCAAAACTGAACAGTGAAGGGCTGTCAAAAAAGCTCGTTGTTTGCGAACAGTTTGTGTTCAGTTCGTCAATGAGTTCGTGTTCGATTCGTTCGATAAGTAAACGAGACGAACGTGAACAAAATTTTTTCGTTCGATTAGTTAAACGAACCAAACACCAACAATGATGCATTCGTTCGTGTTTGAATCGTTATTGTTCCAAATATAAAATAATTTAAAATAATTATATATAAAAATTTTATGATATTTTAAAAAATTAAATTTTACAAATTATAATATAAAATAAATTAATAATAATAATATATTAATATACTATATTAGTAATATACTAATAGAGTTGTAAACGAGCCGAGCTTGAGAGAGTTCAGGCTTGGCTCGTGTTCGGCTTGTTCGAAATAGCTCGGATATTATATCTTTATATAATAAAATTTATATAATTAATATAATATATTATTTCTATATATTAATATTAGGGATGTCAAACTTGCTCGTCTTTCGCGAACAGCTCGTGTTCGGCTCGTGTCGTTCGCGAACAACACGAACAGTGACTTCAAAAACAATTTCAAACACAAGCTTATTTCAAAAGAACCGAACCAACGAACCGAACACGAACACAAGCTCTGTTCGTTCGTGTCCGGTTCGTTTACACCCCTAAGTGAAACATAACAATCCTATAAATTATTAAATGCTGCACAACAACCACTGTGGGAAGAATGCATTTCACACACAAAGTTTGTTTTTGTTCTTTTTCTTTTTTTTAGGAGTCGTCAGCTCGTCAATCGTCATATATGATGATCCTAAGAAAAGAGTAATTAGAATATAACGACATACAACAATGAAGACAAACAAGAGAAAGAATGTGTAAAACTTTCGTGGAATGAACTTCTCGTGATAGCCTAAGTGCGTACGTCTAAACAAGATGGGATCGAAAATGCCATGAAAATATATCCGTGAAAAAATCCAAGGAAAACAACCCACAACTACAGATTCAAGTGTGTGTATTTATTATGGTGTCAAGAGCAACTCACAAAGAGAATTATATTTTTGATTAATTATATATTGAAGGATACTCAATAATATTTTCGATTAAAGGAATCCTACTTACACGTGTATAACAACTAGTAAAGTGTGTCATAAAGGACGATTATCTCACAGGAGTATCCTAATAAAAACAGATAAAGAGTGAGTCTCTCAAGATCCCATAGGGATAGCGGCTTATCTGTGAATAAGGCCTATAAAATAACTGAGTTGACTCATAATATTTCCATAAATATAGAGGTAAATCACCAAATCTCAAATGTCTCATTCACATTCGGAGCCTATAAGCCGACAATTACAAAGCGTGCGCGCTTGGATACCAAGATATTAGGACACATAAACCCAAAATACTCATGAGCGGAGACAGCTCTTGTTGGAATGCTTCCGCGTCTCCGGCGAATCTCTCGCCCATTCTCCCATTCTCTTGTCTTTTCCTCCGGGCACAAAACCCTAGCAGCTCCCATCACTTCCTCAGTCGATTCCCATGTTGGCGCGCCTCCGGTTGCCGTCTTCTGGGACCTCCACAACAGGCCCCCAAAGTCGATTAGTCCCTACGACGCCGCTGTTCGCCTCCGTCTTGCCGCCTCCTCCCTCGGCCCTCTCCGCTTCGTCGCGGCCTACGGCACTGCTCAAGCCCTCCGCAACGTCCCCTCCCCCGTTTGCATCTCTCGGCTACAGGACCCTGCTCCCTCCCCGGCCGTCATCCACCC